GCGGGCGTCCGCAGGAGGACCATTTCCCTGTAACTGTGCTGCCCTGCATCCCTCCCCTATCCCTCGAGCGCCGGCGTGACTACTACCGGCTACTCGCAGTAGACCCGCTGGCAACTTGTTAAGCTGTTCTGTCCTGCTACGGGCACTGACAGATTACCCGCGGGTCGAGTCATATGATACGCAGTATTGCTCATCTTAGTGTTACTACGATGAGCAATACTGCCTATCATGTGTCCTGCCTCTTTCTCTCTAAGACAGCTCATGCTTCCACCGAAGCACTACAGCTACAGCACTACAGAACTCCATCCGCCGAACAGGGTCGCCTAGTGCACAGCAGCAAGCAAAAGGAGGGGAAAAAGAGGAAAATAGGGAGAAAAGGCATCAGGTCTTTATCAGAATTCCAGCCATCTTCTCTTGCAGAAAGGAGATTGTCCATGATCTACCCTTAGGTGGGGAAGTAAATGCAGGGTTGGGAGCCCCTTTGAGCGCAAACAAGTCGATTTCGGCATCCCATAGGGTGGACAATGCCTTTCCAGCAAGGGCACTTCATGAAAAATGACTGTGCCTTTGCTGAACGACCAGATATGACCGCCTCGCGATACGGAAACGGTCGAGGAGCCCATTGATTCCCTCGACTTATGCCTTCGCCTTCAAAACGCGCCGGAATAACTACAATAGCTATTGGCGTCTTCTATATTAGAAGCAGACACACGACGATAATGGCGAAAACTAAGCAAATGCTCTAGCATGCAACGCAGCCCATCATGGGCTTCATGTGCTCCGAGCAAGCAATTCTTAGGCCTGCAGTGCGACTTGCTATGGCGGAAATGAGCATGCTGAAGCAANGTGCTCCGAGCAAGCAATTCTTAGGCCTGCAGTGCGACTTGCTATGGCGGAAATGAGCATGCTGAAGCAACGGAAGCTGTCAGTATGGCGTTACATCGAGAAGTATCAGAACAACTGCAACTAATTCCAATCTTGGACCCAGTGCTGTCCTACAATTGGTTCATAGCAGGGCTGTCCCCTGGAGAGAGGCAATCGCTAACTCACGCAGCATGCGGCGCAGTGATGTGGCAGGAACAGATGACAGCCGCACCTGCACACACACCTGGAATCAACCCCGTGCTTACTAAATATCGTGTTAATGGCCAGGAGTTGCTAGCGCTCCTTGATGCCAGATGCAAAGTGGGTCTGATATCAGACGCCAGGGCAAGGATATGCAACCTGACTGTCTACTCATTGGCGCCGTCTCTGGTGCTACACTTCGCGGACAGCAGACAGAACACAAGAATCTGCAAAACTATTGGCGTAAATGTGACTTCAAGTCTGAAATGCGGCATCTTACCATGGTACGAGACCTCCACATTGGAACAGTTCACTACGGCATGGGCCTAGTAGTGTCGCGGCTGATCCAACGGATGGCCGGCATGTGCCCTCCTGACGACACTGTGGAGGTACGTGCGCCATGAAATACTGAAAAAGTGAACCTATAAGAGCTTGCAATCGCGTTTGCACCATCTACGCTAAGAGGAATGGAAGCGGTGCCCCAAGGACAGTGGAGCGCGGACGCCCCTGCGCAGTGCGGCTATAGTGTACGAGCACAACAATGGACTATCAAGCTAGACCTCTTGAGGTCTAGCCTGGAAGCTAAAAGTAAACAGAGTTTATTTATAGAGTTATTAGGTTACTTTATGCTGGATATGGGCTTTGAGAACGAACAGTGCTCGCCAGCCTGCCGGGTTTAGGGCTGGCGGCGATGCCAACACTGCACCTGTGGTGGTGCCGTCGCCTGGGGGGTCGGGCAGAACCCTAAGATCAGTTCTTTACTTATTTCCTTTCAGGATGCGGACTCCGGATAACGCTTATGTATTTTGTTACTGGGGGTTCATTTGGTGGATTCTGTTGGGTGCAGCGCTTAGGTGTAGAGTGAGCACCTAGCAAAGCCGCATAGATTCGTATCGTAGTAGCAGCTGGGCAAGCTGCTGTTACTACAGCGGCGATCCTGCAGAAACGATGGGGAAATGCATGNTCGTAGTAGCAGCTGGGCAAGCTGCTGTTACTACAGCGGCGATCCTGCAGAAACGATGGGGAAATGCATGCACTCCGTCTCGGTGGCCTTTAGAATACACCATTTTTGAGGTGTTTGATCCAGTTGACACCCGAGGAACCGCAGGAGCGGGCGCAGTTGAAGGAAGACTTCTCAGTTGAACTAAATAACAGAGAGCTTCCAGCGAGCAGGACACTCACTACACGCAAGCTGCACCACATCGAACTCATTCCCAGAACAGCTCCAAGCTCTGTTCCGAGCTGCTAATCAAAAGGCAAGGCCCAACCGTCAACTGGCAAATTAGGCGGAGAAACAGGATACGACGTGGCGCATATGCGTCGGCTTCACGCAGCTCAACAAAATCACGGCGAAGCAGAAGTTTTCGGTGGGGCGGATCGGCGAACTTCTGGGCCGATTGCCGGGTTCAGCAGTACATTCATCTTTTAAGTTTAACGAGGCGTATTTGCAGATCCTAGTACATCTTTACGTGAGGCAAAAAACTGTTTCTCATTCGTTCATTCGCATACCAGAATAAACCTGTATCCGCTTCGGGCTCCTGAATGCACCTGCCTCAATGCAGTGGCAGGCCAATCACGAATTCTTTGACTAAATCAATGAACTTTGAATGGCTACTGCAACGAGGCTTCTCGATCGTGTTCGAGGAGCGTCGCGAGCGGCAATGGAGCCGAAAAACCTTAGATGAGACTTTCAAAAAAACAGGTGATTTCNCGAGGAGCGTCGCGAGCGGCAATGGAGCCGAAAAACCTTAGATGAGACTTTCAAAAAAACAGGTGATTTCCCCCAGCCCCCAAGCCCACTGGGCGCGGCGGCTTAAGGGCCTGAATAAATATAAGCGCTTCTAAAAAGCAGTTGAGATCCTCTCCATTCACCAGGCAGCTTGAGACAGGCTATCCAAAGGCCTGGGGCCGGCGGAGAGGTGGCAACCTGATATGAGCCGCAGTGCGCCTCGCTGCAGCTAGCACTGCAAGGCAATCCCGCATGCATACGCAGTCAGGCCTCCCTTGCTCCATGCCGTGACACTACAAGCATTTGTTGAACACGTACTTATTCTTTCATAGTCAGCCCGCAGATATGCAAAGGTGCACCGACCAACTTCACAAAAACCATGCTACAGCTATATTCGTGGGTTACTGCTTGAGCTCATCCGGAATGTGCAAGATTAGCTCGTGGTCTGCAATGGTTCCATGAAAAGCTGTCATTCGCAAGTGCAGTTAGATGCTTACGGTTTTGCGCCTTGACTCCTGCGCTGCAGCAAGAGTTCAATCAGGTATCGCAAAGATAGAGGCAACTCGGGCGTGGCCACTACCTGTCCCCACTCGAAGAGACATTCAGAAATTCCTGTGTCTCGCATCACCCTACCGGAACTTACAACGAGGGTCGCCGATCTAGCTTCAGGAACATCGTGGGCTGCCATAGAGGCAAAATACTTAAGGAAGCGCTCCCCAAAATCAGCTTCTCCCCTGTTCTTAGGCGTCTCAAACGCAGCAAACCAGTCTTCGGGCTGGTGAGGATAGGGGACTGCCCGTCATACGCTGGGATGAACCTTCCTGTACCAGGTGCTGCAAGGCAACCTCTAACATGAGTTAGCGCAGAGTTAGCTCAGGGGCCTATCGACGGCTTTGGCATGCTGCGCGTAAGCGCCTGCAAACGTTATACAAGTTCGTTACGAGGCAATGCATGCAGCAAAGGAAGCTTCCCTGAAGCTTCCTTTAGTGCACGCGTGGGGCTGGCTTGCTCTGCCAGCCGCAGCGGGATGCGCTGCAACCCCATTTCGGGCTGCCTCCTCCCCGCGACACCCTGGCCCTGGGCTCAACACCCAGGATGCCTAGGTACCGCGGAAGGAGGTCAGCTGCTTTTGGGAAACTCTTGCTTTAAGTCTTTGCCTNTCGTCTCTGGTCAGATAAAGGCCAGAGAACTAGCGCTACACAACCCCCCATGCTGGCGCAACTAAACCCTCTTTGTTGCATGCTCTAAGACTGTACACAATGGTTAGACACGTGATTCGCCCCTCAGCAGGCACCCTGTACATAAGTAAAACTGCATCCTGTAGCTTCAGAGACTATAAAGCATGCAACACACATCAGCCTCCTAGGTGGTTGTAGGGCACGGTAGGTAGGTGCTAAAAAAACCGTACAGTATGCGCCCGGAACAGTTCCTTGGGTTAAACACCAGCTTCTGAGGAGGTATCGCTCTGCAAAAGAGTTACAGCAACACCTCACGAGTGAACAGCCATGAAAATGAAGGTTGGTGGAGTAGTTGCAGTAACAGCACCAGGGCTTCTACTGCTGCCGTGCACTTGGATAGGGCTTTTTCTGCTGCCGCCTGCATGGACAAAATACAAAAAAAGTCGCATGAGAAAGACTCAACTGTCGCTTTTAGCTGTGGGAAGCCTTACTCCCCCATGCCTGGAGAAGGCCGCTCTCTGGCATGCTTGGCGTGTTGCTACTGGGGGGAGACCGAAGAGAGCGTGTTTATGGCTGGTGATGCCCCCAGTGGTTGCAACATGACAACTGTTGAGCCGGATGCCGTTGAACTGATTTCGCTTTATTTTAATTGCTGTTCCTTTCCGAGATTCACCTCGCAGCGCTACGGACGCCGTGCCCCCCACACCAGAAGGCCAGGGACCCCGAGGCCTGCTCGGGTGTGCACGCAGCTTCGCTTGAGATACTTCAGGCCTTCTTCTTCGTCTGCTGTGTACGTACACCTCAAAGCTGACTGAAAAGTGTATCGGCCACCGACTGCGCTGCGGCAGTTGGTTTAGCACCGGCAGCAGCGCTGCGGCCGCAGCTGCATCACTAGCCACTGCAGCAGCACCAGCAGTTCGCCGGCGTGGGCTCGTCCCTCACTGCAACGAGTTGCTGGGATAAGCAGCTTTTGCTGCTGCTGCTGCCACCGCAGTGTCTGCAGAGACAGCTGAATCAGGTGCTTTGCCATGGCAAGGAGGGGGAGGGGCCCGCGTGGCGCCGCTGCAGACAATGGTCAGCAGCAGATGCAGCCGCTGCTGCAGAAGGCAACAGGAAGGACTGGAGGGGAGCGGTGCTGCACCGAGCCTCACACACCGCCAGCGGAGGCTGAAGCTCTCAGTGACTTGAACGGCGCTAGCAGCAGGAGCAGCAACAGCCGAATTTGCTGCAATGGGAAGGGTACGAGTGGCGGCGACGACAGGGGCTGCTGCAACGATCAGTCTCACGATTGCTGTGTAGACAGCACACATTGCAAGAGCAGCCACCGGCGCTGCGAGCAGCAGCAGGATCTGGCACAGCAGCAGCGAAGGCAGCAGCCACTGGAGCAGGAACTCATGGCTGCGGGGTCCCACACGTGTGTTGGTGGGTGCGGGAGTACCTGTTCGGATGCTTCTCAGCCCCAGCAGGAGCAGCGGCGGATGCCCTTGTCCCGCTCTGACGTCTCTTCTGGATCAGGCGGTGAACCGTGCGCTCCTTCTGTGCAGCAGCAGCAACAGGGGGNGGAGACAGCTGGCTGTGGATACAGCAGCTGCGCGGGCCCGACGGAAGCTACTGGTTGCCTCAGCAGTGTGTTTGGTGTTTATGGCAATTGAAGTCGTCGCGGGCATCGCTTCGAACTCCCTCGCCCTCATGACAGACGCCTCGCATCTCCTCTCGGACCTCTGCGCCTTTCTTATCAGGTGGAGTGGGGAGGGAGACGAGGATGGGGAATGCGTCAATGTAGCATCGCCATCCGTCTGTGACTGTGTGTGCCCATGGGGCATGTTCCATGTGTCTCTCATCTTTCAATCCCTGCGTCGGCCTTGTCGGTCCTCCTTTGCTCCTTCCGCCTTCTCCTTCACTGACTTGAGACCAGTTGCTTCCCCTTGCGATCTCTTCAACTGTCTGCTTTTCTCGGTCTCTGACTCGTCAGAAGGCCCATTTGCCTGGTTTCTGTGCCATCCTATGTCTCCAATTCTTCGTGGCTGTGTGTTTTAACTGACTCTTACCAACTCCTGTGTCTCCAGTTGTCCTCCCATCTGTTTCTGCGGCATGTCTTTTGGTCATTCGTGTGACTGTCACTGCTCTGGTACTGCCTGAGCTGTCTATGTTGCGCACGTATCTCTGTCTGCTTGTTGATGCTTGCCTGCTCCTTCTTCAGGGTGTGGTTGTTGTTGCTGTGCGTTTGGTGGCCAGTGTACCTCTTCCTTATAACGCTTTTCCCGCGTGTCTTCAGGCGTCTCTTGCCGCTTGAGGGACACCCTCTCCTGTTCCCTTTTCTCACTTTCTGTCTTCATTGTTGCCGCTTTCCCTCTGGCCTTCCTGTGTGTGTGTGTGTGTGTGTGTGTGTGTGTGTGNGTGTGTGTGTGAACGCGAGGAGGTGCACCTCGTCGGTAGTTTAAGTGTTCTCTCCTCTTTTGTGTGGTGGGGGGCGCCGCTGGGCTGTCTTTCCAGCTTGTTTGCCTTGTGGGTGTCGCAGTTGAAAGGGACCATGTCGATGTCCTTTGGTTATCATCGAGCTGAGATTTTGGGCGCGCTGCTGTCCGTGCTGCTCATTTGGGGTGTCACTGCAGCTCTTGTGGTGGCAGCGCTGCACCGCATCGCCTCTCCGCAGAAAGTGCAAGGAGGCCTCATGCTGTTGACAGCCTCTATCGGTACGGCTGCCAATTTGTTCATGGCGCACATACTCCACATACACTCTCACGGAATCGGGAGGATACACACAACCCGTCATGGATCGCCTGCCGATGGAGACATCCATGCCAGCGGCGGCAACAGTAGCAGCAGCGGCTGTTGCGGCAGCGGCAGCAGACGGGCAAGGGCTTTGCTCCCTCTCCGCACTCGCGGCTGCTGCAGTGGCAACAGTAGTAGTAGCAGCAGCAGCAGCAGCAGCAGCAGCGGTAGCTCTGGGAATGGCCATGAGCACCACCACGGGCACCACAAGGACGAGGGGAATGCACTGATGTTGCAGCGACGGGCAAGCGACCTCGAGCAGCAACGGCAGCAAGTCGCAGCAGCTGCAGCAGAAGGAGACGTGTATGTGCGAATGGAAGAGGACGACCCAGAAGCAGAAATCGAGAGCATGAACCTCAGGGCTGCTTATATACACGCTGTTGGAGACCTCCTGCAGAACATTGGGGTGATGATTGCGTCGGCAATCATCTGGTGCGCCCAATCCCAGAACCCTATGCTGTACTCCCTAGCAGCAGTCACCAAGGGACCCCTTAGCATAGCCTTCAAATACACACGCGGTTTTATTCCCCGTTATAGTACCGAGCTGGAGTTGTCTCCGTAGCGGGCCAAACAAGCGTTGACCGGGCGATGGTTTGGGGTTTAGGTCTTGTCGTCGCAGGTACAACCCCGAGTATTCGATCGCAGACCCCGCCTGCACTCTGGTGTTCTCCATGTTTGTTCTTTTAACGACGATTTCCATCATCAGAGAGGTCAGCGACCATNGTTGCTGGTACTGCTGCCAGCGCTGCAGTTGATGCGGCTGCGGGAGCAGCCTTGTTCTCGATGAGGCTTGGAGGCAGTGGGATGCTTGCCGTTCCGATTGCCCGTGTAGAGGGTCGACTGGCTGCTAAAGATTTGTAGTGCGGGGCTTTAGCCCATTGTTGGGTCTCCAGCCAACCTGTGTAGTTGCTGTGCGACGGGGATGTAGCGTTGCGGGTCTACATAATGGTGTGCTCCTGCCGCTGATACTGTTGCATCGCAGGCGGTGAACGTGCTGATGGAGGGGACTCCACTTGGCCTAGACGTGGCGGTGCTGCAGTCGGATCTAGTGTCCCTCCGAGGAGTGCTGGAGGTTCACGATCTCCATGTATGGTCTATATCAATAGGCCGGCCGGCGCTTGCTTGTCACCTCGTCGTCTGTAAGTTGCGCATGCCGGCTGCTGGTGCTGCCATTCCCACTGAGGGTGGCGGCAAGCTTCATCGATTGCTGCAGTTTCCTGGAATATGGAACTTCTGCGGTGGACGCAGCCCCCACAAGTCTGCAGAGTTTGAACAGATACTTACGTCTCGCGCAGCTCAGGTAGCAGCAGAGCTCTTGTCCTGCACCAGCAGCAGCAGCAGGTGAAGTAGCAGCAGAGAGTTCGTCGTGTGTATGATGTGTGTAGGTGATGAGGAGGCTGCGCGACGTGTTTTGCGAGCAGCTACTCTTCTCTGCCAGCGCAAGCACGGCATTCTACACACGACTATCCAAGTAACGTGCCAACACCATATTGCTGCTGCCGTTGCTGCTGCTGTTGCTGCTGCTGCTGCAAATTTCCAGGTTCGCGAGCAGCTGGTGGGCGTTGTGCTGGCAGCAGCGGGCACCGTGGGGTGCAGGGAGCTCTGCCTGTGCAGCATAAACGCTCCAGAGTTTGCTACGTAGCTGCCTGTGTCTATGTTTTGTACACCCCTTTTTGAGGTGTACACCACATGGAGAAAGACACTGAATCGCAGCGGACTGGCTGCTCCGGACTCGGGTCACGTTGCCGCAGACGACTCCCCTCTGGCTTATGTTTTGCAGTGTGCTGCTCCTGTTGCGGACACTTGCTATCGCATTGTGGCGATGCTGATTGGCGCTGCTTTTTTGCGCACATATGCTTCGTTTCCTGCGAACTCTGCATTTTGCATTGTCTTTGGACACCCCACTAGACAGCAACGTGTTGCTACGACTGCCGTACGATTGTTGCTGCGGTGTGCTGATGTTTGCTGCAGACGGATTTCTCGTCGGACGCCTCCTGCTGCGACACAGAGGCTCACCAGAAGTGCATGGAGCCTTTGACCAGAGCAGAACTTTGAATATGTCCCCGAAATTCATCCTGCAGAAGAGGCTTCGGGTGATGGATGCTGCGGTTGAGACTGCGGGATGGCGGCGATCTCTCTTTCGCCACAGCGGCAGCAATGGCAGGAAAGGCCAGAAATTAGCGGATTGGGGTATTTCCGCTAATGAAGTTGACGCTGCTACACAAAAACAGCTGCAGTTGGGGGGGCATCATGCTGCCGGTCCAGTTTTGTGTCTGCCAAGAAGCAATCTGTTGATGCAGCGGCGACGGTGTGCTCATCGAAGTTAATGCCAGTAAACTACAACTATTTCCACGACATTCTCTTTGCTGCAACTACGCGTCCAACACTACATCTAGATGGCTCCAGCTCTTCAGCAAACCACCGGTGACAGCGCACCTGTTGCAGCGGCCAGGAGCAGAGACTCGGCCGAGCAGGCTTGGCTGGGGTCTCGAGACACAAGAGGCATCCTCTTTTCTTGGAACCTTCTATTTCAGCAGCAACATTGTGGCAGGGAGAGGGCGAGCGTAAAGCTCTCTCGTTGTATTGCAGCGTTTGACTTAAGTGTTCTTTTAAAGGGGCCCTTCTCCTTACGCCAGCTCAGTTACACTTTTAGGGCCTTATTGGGCCTGTAGTGTTCTCTTGACCAGCAAGGAACTAGAATGGAGAGTGACCACTTTCGAGCGGGCACCTTTACTTCACGTCGATTGCGCTTATCGAGAGTAAAGACCCGTGCGTGTTGGATGATGTAAGCGTGCTCATTAGCCAAGACGGAGAGCCTCTCTAGCAGCTTTCAGCAACCCCAACCTCGTGGAAGGGAGTGCTGTGACACGTGCTGAACTGCTTTACTTGGCAGCAGGACATCCAAGCACTCTCTTTGCCTTGACATCTGCAACTAAAGCAGACGCTGTGCGAGCACGATATCTCGGCATGAGCCACTAAACTAGAGGTAGGACACTATAATACGAAGGCGGGTGAGACCCCGTGAGGTGCTTCTCAGGGTTTGTCTTTTTCGAATTCAACAAAAGCGTCATCGAGAGCCTTTTTGCTAGAGAGCTGTTGCGCGTTGGCAGCGGGAGTGGGCACACAGAGCGTCCGCGCTCCAGAGCTCTCGTCTGCTGCTCTGAGACGGCATGTATAGGAAACGTTGCAGGAACCTTGCAGCATTCGGCTTTGCATTGTTACCGAATTGCGTGAAGCCAGCAGACGGGCTGGTGGTGCTGCAGGCGCACACAGGTGGCTGCCTCTGTACGGTCGGGGAGTGCTCGTTCTCCCTGCAAGAAGGGCGTTGCACTGTGCGCACGCATGTAGAGTTGTATCTGAATCGGCAGCTTTGAATGCCTAAAACGCAGCGGTTCGCATTGGTTAGTACGGTGACCCGCCTGCTCCTGCTGGGAGCCTGTTGCAGGCCGGGCTTCTGGTCCGTGCTGCGCGCTGCACTACTGGCTACACCCAGGCCTTCCCTACAAAAGCGGCCACATGCAAACTAAGGGAGGAAGAGGTGGAGCGCCACGCGAAGTGTCCTGCCTCTGTTCGCTCAAGCTAGGCGGAGGGTGACTTNTAGTGGCATCATAGGCCTTACATTATGTGTTGGGAGAAATCTTTATGTTTTAATCAAACGGATGTGCTGAATTGTTCACACGCACAAGCATTCAATGAGCAACCTAAAAGCTCGTGTTTCTCGTCGCCGATCTAGGCGTGACCGCACTGGCTGCGGTCCCAAGCAATCTACCTGTTTACGAAAACTTACGGGCTAAAATACAAATGCTCTTTGAACTGCAGTTCAGAAGTGTTATTTCGAGTAGTTCCACCTCAACTGTTCTCTTTCCACGGCGGCGTGACTAGAAGACGGGACACGCATGACACCTCCCGCGCCCAGCACCAAATTGAACGTGTACGCACAGTTGAAATAATTAAAATGGCTGCTAAAAGCGGGAATGACGATGACCATAATTATGAGCTCGAAAATGAAGTGCTCAGCAGGCGCATACAGACCCTGGACAAACTCATTGGTAAGCTCTCCTCTGTTAGCCTTTACAGGCTAGGGTTTGAAGTTTCGGGTTTATTGCTGAGGGCATCCGGTTCCAACAGCCAATGCTTCAGATGCCGAAATAAGCATTGTTCGGTCAGGTTTAGTTCGGAAGGTGGAGTAAAAAAGGTGCTCACTTTTCCGTTTTCCGTGCTTCTCAGCAACTTATGGTACTGGAACGATGTGACTGGGATGGATTCTCCCGGTGTACTGTCTATGATTTAATGTTCGGAGCTCATGTTTCGCTGCTAATGACATCCGTCGTAGTCTAGGTGGTTAGGATACGCGGCTCTCACCCGCGCGACCCGGGTTCAAGTCCCGGCGNGTCGTAGTCTAGGTGGTTAGGATACGCGGCTCTCACCCGCGCGACCCGGGTTCAAGTCCCGGCGACGGAACTTTCTTAAATGCTGCAAGCGTCTCTGGCCTTCCTAACGCTTGAACCTCGTGCCAAAACCCATAGACATCGTCTTCGGAATCCAGTACTGCCCGGTTACTTTTGCATATTCTGTAGCCTGACCCTGGCTGCTGTTTCGTATAGCCCAAACAGCGTTGGTCGATGGCTCTGCGTATACCTTGCCTATGAGATTTCTCTATGTATGCTGCTCAGTACACGCGTCTCTAGCTGCATCCCTTGCTCTTCCATCCCTCCTTCTCCTTAGTGGCGCTGCTTGCTTGCCGACTGAGCTTCTCCAGGGCTTGATCTGTAAATGAATATCCGGTTCTCTCCGCACACCCCAGGCCCTGATATGCAAATGAATCTGCATTTCTCTTCAAACACGCCAGGAAGGCGCTGATTGCCTCACTCAGGCTATAGATTGCCCCGTCAATTTGTGTTAACAGTAACAGATATCCCCTGTGCGGCTCACTGCATGCTACTAATTGGAATGCATTGTAAGGAGCTCCTGAGAGAGACAGGAAGGTACTGAGGCTTTAGTGTAAAGCCAGGAAAAGCACGATGATCTGGTGGACGTTCGCAATAGAATACGAGTGGGTAACAACGAACTGTCGTTATCGAACTAATACAGAGCAATAAACAGGAAAGTTGCGTCAGATTCTAATGTGGTGATCAGAGCTCCAGGCGTTTGCATTCCATCCGCGCAGCAAATGGTAGTACTTGGAAGCGCAAGCAGATATGGAGGTAAAGGAAAAAGAGGATTGGTGCTTTCAGGTTTAAGTGTTCTAAGGTTTAGGGGTTCGAGATTTAGTGCTAATAGTCCAATAACCGTCCGTCCCTATGCGCAGGTATACAGGAAATATGTGCCGCAGCCAATCCCGGGATCTACGTACAATTCCAGTTGAGCGCAGGCTGACTGCCTTCCTGCTTTAGACTGTTGGCCTGCAGATATGGAGGAGGAGAGACGAGAAAAGAGTGAGCGGACATCTGCGGAACTGAGGTTACAAATTGAAGCCCTTAGTGAAAGCTTTAACGAGCAAGACAGACTTCTCTTCTCCAGCATAAGCGCCCTCAGTCTCAGGAACACAGAAGCAAAGACGCACTATCAGCAGCTCATCCAAAGTCTCCAGAAACAACTGCAGGCAGCAGAAAGAGACGTCGGTAGGTGTCTCCCACGCCCATGCCCTGAAAGGCTTCCGGCGAGCAAGATACACTGCCCGCTTGCTAGGACCAGCTGCAGCTTCTGCATGCTGCAGTGAGCTAGCGATTGATACAGGTTAGCACTTAGCAACCCTAAGTTTTCGGATTCGCGCTGGGGCGTTCGTGGCGTACTTGCAGCTGTGGCTGAGAAAGACGTGGCGACAACACGCTTTTTAAAAGAAAAGGAGCTACAGAACGCCAAAGAGGCCCTCCGCCATCTGGAAGGAGAGCTCGAAAAAATGACGTTTCAATTTGCCGAGCTTCTTAACGTGCCCCCAGCCCTAAACCATGAGCCTTCAGTTATATAGCCTAAAACCTAAAGCGGTGCAACTTAGCCCTTGAGAAAAGGATGGGGCAGATCTTAGATGCGTCGGACATAGCGTTGTTTGCTCGTGTCTGCTGCTTGCCAAGTTTTCACTTGCAGCCAGGAAGTGTGCGTGAGTTTTTCCTTGGCTATCTGCATGCAGGACACTGCAGAGAAGCTGGCAGAAAGAATTTCTATGTCCCAGGGAAGTTGGGCAGCTGAGCAGAAGCGGATGCCTCTGGAGCTGCGTATGAAACAAGAGAGCCCTGTGGCACTTGGAACTGCCTTCCAGGCGCATGGGGTAGGCGGTGAGGGTCACTGGGGTTGTATCAGTTCGGTGGTTTGTGTCGTTGATGCTGCTGAGGGGTCCTTTTGCTGTGTTCTATGCTTTGCTCTGTTATGCATTTCTGTTTCGGTGCTTTTCCTCCTCATCCTGCGTACTTTTCCCTGCGTCAGTATCCCGCTGATTCGTTTTTCTCTGCCTCCTGTACCGACCCCAACATAGTTCGTCTGTAGGTGGGAGATAAACGGTCTCAAACTACTGGAATATTGAGGTGTCTATCCTACAGAGGGCGGTGCAGTGTTTGTTGAGTTGTGAGCAGAACGCCGAGTAGAAGGAGACTGGAGGGAGCCTTAGATAGAATTAACCTACCCAATCGAGACGTTCAAAGGCATTTTGTGTTGATACACTGCAGCAAGGCACCTACACCTCAGCTGCTGCCCCGCCTGCTGCCTTTTTCTTTAGTTGCAAGTCCACCTCAAGAAGTTATTCGCAACTGCAGAGGCCATGAGGATCCGTGTAATCTAGTCTTCATCAACCCTTCTGGGCGGGCACGAGGTTCCACGCAGGGACGGAGCCACGAACCATAAGGGCTAAACTGTAATCTTTGCTGCAGCCGAAACTAAACGAATAGCGGCAAAAGGTATTCTTCCTATCGTGCCCGGTTAACCACGCCTCTTCACTCCGTTAACATGTTAAATGCTCTGCCCACTGAAACTATACTATTTTCCCACTAAGCGAAGCGACAGTGGGCTTCACGGCGCGTTGACTGTAGCTGTGCAGCAGCAACTCGCCGGCGACCCTTCTACTCTTCTTTTGTTTCTGGCTGAAATATTCACCAGGTCGCCATGAACCGAAGTGTTTTTAAATATACAATAGATTTCTAACCGGGACCACGACGCGGCGCCGCCCGTTTAGTGTCTGGGGTGCGTAGCACAGAGCCTGGCGAGCACGGACCGGGGCCGATTTTGCTTACGGCAGACGAACACCTGAGGCTGTACACTTCACTAACAGCTCGTAACGTCCGCTTCCATTGATCTGTTCCTCGTGCCTGCTAAAACTGCAGCAGAGCCAAGACAGCAAACCGAAGCAACTGCAGCAGCACCAGCAGCAGCAACTGTAGCAGCGGCGGGCGGCCGCAGTGGTCCGGTGCCGGCCTCCGCGCAGTAGCGGCTGCAGCACTGGTTACTCGTCTTTCTTTCGTATTTGTTTGGCCGGAATTGACTGCATATTCTTCTATCGTTTGAAACCTTTACATAAGTGGTGTCATAATCGCATTGTCTAAGATGTCAGCAGCGGCAGCAGCTGCAGCAGCAGCGGCAAACAACGGGTCGGTGGAAGGGTCTCCATCAGCTGGAGCCTCTGCGACTGGGCGCGAAGGCTATCCGTCTTCCTCGGGAGCAGGAGATGGGCCCCAGCTGCAGCAGCCGTCTTATCCTTTCATGTTGCAGCAGCACCTGGCGGCGCAGGGTATATCTCACGGCTACCCGGGCATGCTGGACGGGGGGGCCCCCGTAGACCCAACACAGGCTCAGGTCGCGGCCTTCGCCAACCAGGCAGCTATGTATGGGCCTTATGGATCTCCTTATGCCCTCAACATTCCTGCTCCTCCTACGGGAGGCCCCTACTATCCTGTGAGTCGGCAAAACACATATCCGCGGGGTGCAGACGTGTTGCATGTGCCTAGAATTAGATACCTCTAACGAGCAGCGCCAGGTCGAGGTAAGTGCCCCAAATTTCTTAGTTATTTTTAGGAATTTCTCATAGCCGCTGAGGAGAGGGGGAACTTTTNTTTTCCAGGCTCCCCCGGCAGCTGATGTACGCTGTCTACGGTAAGGTACGCCGGCAGGCGCAGCAGGTAATGCTGTCACTTCGTTCCGCTCTAAGTGCAGGGCAGATGGACTTGCATATTGGGGAAAACATGTATGGCGTTTCCTTCTCTGGGGTGTTCAGGGTATGGGGGCACATCTCCCCTTCGCTAGCACCGAGACCTTCAGCCTGCCAGGCCCCGCCTACTATGACCCATATGGAATGCTCAACCCTGCTGCATGCGTTACTCCTGTACCCCCCCCTGAAAGCCGCGAAGCTGAACAGCCCAAAAACCTCCGCCGAAAGGCCAACAAAAAGTGGTTTGGGTGTTGCTAACTCCTAAATCCTAATTTTAACTCAAAGCCACTCAATATCGTCCTCCCTAAGCACTAAAGTATTAAGAGCACCGTTGTAAACCGTAAACCCTCAAACCTTTGGTAATGGGAGACAAAGGGTTTAGAGTTGGCTCGACAGCCGTCGCCCCCAAGGGCTTCAAAAGCTGATGTCTTGACCCACCTCAGTTGGGAGGCCCTCTCACCTCCCCCTCGTGCCGGCCTTCCAGCCACTAGCTACCTAGCTAGCTGCTAGCTGCCGCAACCGGCGGGATTTGAGAGGCATGCAGCGCGTGACGGGCCTCGAAGAAAGCAGCGATGATGGCGTGCAGCTGCAGACAACATTTTTATTGTTTAATTTGGAATTTATCGACTTCAACTCCGTCAAGGTTTTATGCTCTGCCAGGGTGTAGCGTTCTGACAGGCTTTGAAGTCTAGTAAGATGTCGGCGTTTGCCTACGGGTTACTGCTCAGC